TAGCAAGATCTCACGCGCATGCACGTGTGCTTCGCTCTGATTGGCTGAAACTAAAGTCTCAATATCTTCCTTGTTTTACGTCCTGATCCTTTGAAATTTTGAACTTAGTCACACATTATGAAGATCTACAGGATGATATATAATAATTTTCATGAAAGCAAGTACATGCGCATGTGCTGGCAAGAGCGCGCACGTGCAACATGTGAAATTAACAATATAATGTAAATAACTTTTCTATTTCTTGATGGAATTTTTTGAAACTCACAATGCATGAATATATTAGTAGTTAAGACAAGATGACATGGTCAAATATGCAAGATCTCACGCGCATGCACGTGCGCTTTGCTCTGATTGGCTGAAATTAAAGTCTCAATATCTTACTTGTTTTTCAACGAAATCCTATGAAATTTTGAATATAGCCATGCATTAAGATATCCTACAACATGATATATAGCAATTATCATGAAAACACGTGCATGCAAGTGTGCTGCAATCTGATTGGCTTAAACTTTAAATAGCTATAACTCCCTTGATTTTCAACCAAACAGGATAGGATTTGGAACATAGATAGATATAATAAACTTCTACAAGAAGGTATGGTCACCATGCACATGCATACACGTGCGTGTACGAACACTGTAATCTGATTGGCTGAAACTTTAAACAGCTATATTTCCCTTGGTTTTCAACCAAACCGGGTGGGATTTAGAACATAGATAGATGTAATGGACTTCTGCAAGAAGATATATGGTATGTATGTATGCACGTGCGTGCACGTGAAATGAGACAAATCAAAAATACACTTGAGTGAGCGTATTTTTTAAAACTTTTGGATTAAATAATTTAATATATAAAAAATATATAGATAGTGTAGACAAGATGATATGGTCATTACGCACATGTATTCACACGCGCACGCATGCAGTGCTAAAATTTGAATAAACTTAGCGTTGTTAAAGTCTCAAATGCATAGATTTTGTCCTATTTAATGAAACGTACAGGGAATATGGCACCAAAAGGGAGTTGGGGAGCGTTTGGGGAACATCTGTAACGGTCCCCGTTACAATTAGCACTAGTTACAGAAGATATTCATGATTATTACTGATGAAAAATGAAAGTCTTGTGAGTTCGGAATGACATACACTATTGCTTGCAATAGCAAACTTTCTAGTTCCATTAACAACTGCAAGATTAGTCTTTGGAAAAAAGTGCATAACATCGATTCATCTTGACTTTATTAAAGAGAAAAATTGCAACAATTCCCTGTACTAGAAATAAACAATATAGAGATGGATGTTCCGGAGGTCCGTGTTTGATGTCCTTCGTTCTAAAGGAGGAAAATGCTATTTTCCCTCTCCTTCCTTTCCAATTGATCCGAATGGCAAGGTCACTGGCAAAATGGCAGGACAAGAGTCTTCTCACAATGGATTTACATTTTCTCCACCAATTGTGTATAAATTCTTTTCCTTAAAGAGGCGGGGGTGGCAGCCATTTTTAGACTATTTCGATCTCCTTTGAGAAAGAGGTCCATATAATGATATACAAAAATGATCATTTTTTTTCTTTGCCAAATGATAGTTGACAGCTTAAGATACCGTATCTAAAAAAGTAATTTAATCTGGTGGTTAATTTGTGATTAATGTGATGACCCCCAAGCCTTCTTAAAACAAATCCTAAATTCATTAATTGTGTATATAAACTATATTGTACAAACCATTTTTCAGTTAGTACATCTTATATATGCAAATTATATAAGTACGTGCCTGTGTATTCCAGCCTATATTAATTACATAAGTATATGTGCATGTTTCGTTTACGATATTAGTATTAAAAGTCAGATAGCATGCAAACACTGGGCTGAACATTTTAGCGACAAAATAAGAAAAAAATGTAAAATATACTTGCATATTTGTCCAACTAAGCAGTATATCCACATATACGTGTGTACCAAGCAGCTCAGCTATGAAATAGTTACACTTGCTGACAGTACAACCATTTACCAACCTTGCCCAAACATAGTCATGCTATTTTGGTAATTGTTTAATGACGACATATGATGGTTTGATCTCATTTATAAAACAAACTACTGGCCTCCCCCCGGTTGCTACGTGCCTGTAATTTACATGTATTCATTAAATTGAGTATGAAATTCTCCCTATGACCTATAACTCAGAACCTCTTATATTTATTTTACAGGCTTAATTCATTATGTACCAGTCTGAATTCTATTAATGATGTAAATTAGATTTTGATAAATGTTTTGCTCATAATAGGACCTTTTTAAATTTACTTATCCCCCCGTCGACACTACAATCACTCAGTACATACTTTTGGGAATAGGCTAGATGGAACAGTTTTGTTAAAACATTGTTTAGATTAAACTCCACTCGGTACACCTCGGCCGATTCCCACTTAATCTGATAAAGTGAAGGAATCGACGGCACGAAGGCTTTTTCCGAATGGAATAGCATTAGAACAGGCTGCAGTGTGGTGTGCATTTGATTAATTTAATGTTTTTGAAAAAAGACATCAATCAACCAAACCTGTCGTAAATTTAGCATCTTTTAACATCTTAGCTCCCAGATGGACCATGAAAGCTTAAAAATGACGAAATTAGCTCCGAGATGAACTAAGTGAGCTTTCACCATCTTGGCTCCGAGATCTTTATAATTGAACTTTTCATGTACAATTGTTTGTGTAATCTTTGTTGTGACTTTAATATAAACTATTAACTTTTTATTAGGTCACCTGAGTAAACTCAGGTGACCTATTGCTATCCGTTTTCGTCCGTCGTGCGTCGTGTCTTAACATTTGAACATTTTCGGCTTCTTCTCTGGAACCACTGAACCAATTTCATCTAAATTTGGCACATAGCATCTATGGGTGAAGGGGAACAAAAATTGTGAATTTCATGATCCCTGCCCCCCTGGGGCCTGAGGGGTGGGGCCAAACCCACTAAAAATAATGCAATCTTTAAAAACCTTCTTCTTTACTCCTGGACATCAAGCAGTCAAACTATTTGTATGATTGTAATCAGCATTTACTCCTCTACCAAAATTGTGAAATTCATGGCCCTGGGGTCAGGGGTTCTAGTGCTAGGGCCGGGCTAAATAAGTATACAGTGAAAATGCATTATTTCTTTGAAAATCTTCTTCTCTGCTCCTGGGTATTAAATAAACCAACTAAGTACATAGTTATGATGAGCAAGAGTGCCTCTACCAAAATTGTGAATTTTATGGCCCCAGGGTCAAGGATTCTGGTGTTTGGGGGAGAGGCTCTATTGTTTATATAGTGAAAATACATGAATTCTTTGAAAATCTCCTTCTCTGCTCCTGGGTATTAAATAAACCAACTAAGTACATAGTTATGATGAGCAAGAGTGCCTCTACCAAAATTGTGAATTTTATGGCCCCAGGGTCAAGGATTCTGGTGTTTGGGGGAAAGGCTCAATTGATTATATAGTGAAAAGACATGAATTCTTTGAAAATCTCGTTTTCTGCTCCTGGGTATAAAATAAACTAACTAAGTGCATAGTTATGATAAGCAAAAGTGCCTCAACAAACATTGTGAATTTTATGGCCCCAGGGTCAAGGGTTCTGGTGTTGGGGGGGCTCTATTGATTATATAGTGAAAATACATGAATTCTTTGAAAATCTTCTTCTCTGCTCCTAGGTATTAAATAAACTAAGTGCATAGTTATAATGAGAAAGAGTGCCTCAACAAAAATTGTGAATTTTATGGCCCCAGGGAGAAGGGTTCTGGTGTTGGGGGGGTCTATTGATTTTATAGTAAAAATACATGAATTCTTTGAAATTTTCTTCTCTGCTCCTACTATTAAATAAACTAACTTAGTGCATAGTTATAATAAGAAAGAGTGCCTTTACCAAAATTGTGAATTTTATGGCCCCAGGGCCAAGGGTCCTGGTGTTGGGGGGGGGGGCTCTGTTGATTATATAGTGAAAATACATGAATTCTTTGAAAATCTTCTCCTCTGCTCCTAGGTATAAATACACTAATTAAGTGCATAGTTATGATGAGCAAGAGTGCCTCTACCAAAATTGTGAATTTTATGGCCCCAGGGTCAAGGGTTATGGTGTTGGGGAGGGGGGGGGGCTCTATTGATTATATTGTGAAAATACATGAATTCTTTGAAATTTTCTTCTCTGCTCCTAGGTATTAAATAAACTAACTAAGTGCATAGTTATGATAAGCAAAAGTGCTTCAACAAAAATTGTGAATTTTATGGCCCCAGGGTCAAGGGTTCTGATGTTAGGCCGGGGTTCTATTGATAATATAGTAAAAATTCATTAAATCTTTGAAAATTTTCTTCTCTGTCTCTGGGTATGAAGTAGATGAACTACCTATATAGTTATGATGAGCAAGGGCCCTTATCTTGCAGAATTGTGTATTTTAAGGCCCCAGGGGCGGGGGGGGGGGGGCTCTACTTATAAACTGAAAATGAATTTATTGTTTGAAATATGCTCATTTGTATTTATAAAACATTTATTTATTTTTTTGATAGGCAATTTTAAGGGTGCCTTTTAAAAATTTGTGCAATGTTTGGACCTAGGTTCAGGGGTTTATGTCACCATATAGGGGCACTACTGATTACTGCTGAATATTACTGATTAGTTGGAGTGCATTTTTGTTCCCCTACCCTGCGTATGGGTATTCAGTTACCAAGCTAAGCAACTGTTAAGTGTATTGTTATGATGATAAATGGTGCCTCTTTCAAAATTGTGAATGCCATATAGCATCTGGCTTAAAACAATCAAATTCAATACACTGTAACTGGAAAGTTGTTGCATAATGCTCAGGTGACCTTTAAGGCCCGTGGGCCTCTTGTCTATAATAATCGTAACAGACGCCAGTAATTTAAAAGAGGAGTGGACAGGATTTATATTACCAAGTCAAATTGTCATGTTCGTAGGTTTTGACCTTTCCATAAATCGTAATTGCAGTCGAAAATCATTAGATTTGAATAATTTTGTTCAATAATTTACTGCAGTTATAAATTGCAGCATTTGGAAATTGCAACATTTATGTCTCAAACGGACAACAGTTATGAACAAAGAGATATTCGTTAGTTACTGGGTCTTGTTTATCATTAGTTCGGCATACTTTGGTTACGCCGCGGGTAAGCACAAAGAATGAGAGTTTTTGATTTAAAATACGGAGTATTGTACACATATGAGATCGCTAAGGACAGTTTGTCAGTGGAAATTTTAAAGGCTTATAAATTCAGTTGTTTCAATGTTATAGATGTATGATTTATTTTCCTCTTGAAAGTTAGAAGAGGTTTTAAGTAAGTATAATGTTATAATAAGTTTATTATCAATTTTTAAATATTTTCAAAGACTTTTAAAATATATCTATCTTTGAGATTTCAATCATTTTTTGAAAATCCAAGTTTAAATTGCAGTTTTTTTCTTTAATTTGTTTATCTTATGAACGTGTAGGTAATGTTTTGATGAGACGAGATGATATCGACATCTATGAAGAAAAACCGGATGACTTTGAAATCTTGAATGCTACATACGAGTACATAAACGCTACACACATTGAGGACGGCTGTCCTGACTTGTCTGCCTGTTTTACTGAACCATCGAATGCATCTGACCAGGAAGGAAATATGTACCTTGGAGAAAATTTCTTCACCGATTATTGCAAGTAAGCATATCGCGAAGGTTCTCATGTAAACTTGGGAAAATTGCAAGAACACATTTTATTAACTAACATGCAAATTGCTCTCAACACCTTCATCACCTGCATACGGAGTATATATATCTCAGTTGGTTAGATACGCAAGAGCGGGCTCTACGTATGAACAATCTCTTAAACGAGGTAAATTATTGACAAGCATTAAGTTGATGAAACAAGAATATCAACAGTCATCATTTCGTAAATTCTATGGTCGATACAATGACCTCGTCAGCGAATACAATTTATCATTGAATGAAATGCTGACTGACGTTTTTCATACCAATTGTTTGTCTATTATTTATATACTGAATTGTCGACGGAATATTTCCGTTATTTCCTGATTATGACAACGAGCACACGGCGGGTGTGACCGGTCGGCAGGGGATGCTCATTCCTCCATGACACCTGATCCCACCTCTGATGTTTCAGATGTCCGTGTTTGCCCTGCTCTTATTTTGCATATTGTTTAATGGACGTTGAGATTGAATACTGTTCGTTATCTCCATATCCCCCTTCTTAGACCTTTGATGTTTATCGATCTTGTTGACAGGTATGTCCAGGAACTTGTCGATTGTGTGGACGAGTTGGATATTTTAAATGCCCCAGGATGTGGTGACCGAACAGTATTCCTGTCAATGTACAAGACAGAAGAAACAAGTCTTTGCATCAATCCTATATACCCACGTGCGTATTTGATCAAAATACGTGTAAATGAGCGTTTGTTCAAAATTTATAACCGTTTTTTTATAGGTTTAAATTTTATATTACAAAAATCAATGTTCTTCATCGTAGTCCTAAAGAACTTGCGGCAGTGTATGAACAGCCTGAACAAGAAGCTTGATAACTATACTGAGACAGTGCTTACCTTAATGGGACTCCCTAGACAGGATCTCACAGCAAATAATAAAAATGTGTCCAAAGAGTCTTTTTGTGGGTAAGTTTTAAAGGGATTTTGATTACTAATTTAATTAAAGTGTTTCATTAAGATTTGTTGAAGAAAAAAATGGTTAAAAAAATTCTTTGATTTTTAGCTCTACTGGTCAGAGACCAGAAGAGCTTATGCGATGGTAATGCGTCCGTCGTCCGTCCGTCTGTCTGTCTGTCTGTCTGTCTGTCTGTCCGTCTGTCTGTCTGTAAACAATTTTTCAAAATGCTACTCCTCCTATAGTTTTGGCCTGATTTCAATATAACTTGGCACACAAGTAGACTATACTAAGATACATAATTCTGTGTATCGGTTTTTGATTTCGATGAACGGTGTTCCCGTGGTTACTAAAAATTGAAATTTTTGTGAAATTCTTTCAAAATGCTACTCCTCCTACAGTTTTGGTCTGATTTCAATATAACTTGGACACACAATTAGACTACACTAAGATACATAATTCTGTGTATCGGTTTTTGATTTCGATGAACGGTGTTGCGTGTGTACTAAAAATAGAAATTTCTGTGAAATTCTTTCAAAATGCTACTCCTCCTACAGTTTTGGTCTGATTTCAATATAACTTGGCACACAAGTAGTCTACACTAAGATACATAATTCTGTTTATCGGTTTTTGATTTCGATGAACAGTGTTGCCGTGGTTACTAAAAATAGAAATTTCTGTGAAATTCTTTCAAAATGCTACTCCTCCTACAGTTTTGGTCTGATTTCAATATAACTTGGCAAACAAGTAGTCTACACTAAGATACATAATTCTGTGTATCGGTTTTTGATTTCGATGAATGGTGTTGCCGTTGTTACTAAAAATAGAAATTTCTGTGAAATTTTTTCAAAATGCTACTCCTCCTACAGTTTTGGTCTGATTTCAATATAACTTGGCACACAAGTAAACTACACTTAGATACATAATTCTGTGTATCGGTTTTTGATTTCGATGAACGGTATTGCCGTGGTTACTGAAAATAGAAATTTCTGTGAAATTCTTAAAAAATGCTACACCTCCTACACTTTTGGTCTTATTTCAATATAACTTGGCACACAAGTAGACTACACTAAGATACATAATTCTGAATTTCAGTTTTTGATTTCAATGAATGGTGTTGCCATGGTTACTAAAAATAGAAATTTCTGTTAAATACTATCAAAATGCTACTCCAAATATAGTTTTAGTCTGATTATAATATGATGTGGCATGCAAGTAGACTACACTAAGAACATAGAGACTTAATGAAGGATCATTATTCTATTTATTGCTGTTGAAAAGTTTCAATTTCAAACTGCTTCAGTACTTTTATCTTCATTTGCTATAAGTACAAACCAGTAGAGCTTCAGTCTCGACAGAGGCTTCTGGTTTTCATAGTATGAGTGAAAATACATATTTTTGGGTAAACAAAGTCATGGAGAAAGCACATACTATACCCTAAAATACAGTTTTATGACCTGACGATTGTATCTTCCCGAGAAAAAATTTGGTCCAGTGTAATATCACACATATGATTCAAATACTAAAGGAGTTTGTTGGGTATGCCAGGGCTCTAACGATAGTTAGCCCGTTATGCAATAGTCATACCTTACAATATTACGAACTTTACTCTTATTGCTAGATTCATGAAAGAAATAAAGCTTGTATACTTTTGAAATAGGCATAATGTTTGCTTTGTTCGTCCATACCTCTAAACCAATTCCAATTGACATTAACATTCTATCGAACAGATACCCCCAATGACGAATTTTAAATGTAATATTGTTCAGTGATTTTGCTACGACCAGTTTATTTTAGATAATTATTATTACTATCCAATGAAGCCACTGGTAATAGAAACAGAGAATACTTTGAGATGCTGAAAAGCAATTTTTATTGAATTTCTTAAATATTTTTCAACCAAAATTTAAATTGATTAAACAAGTGTTTATTTTTTTATTGAATAGAACATACAGTGAAATTTTGGATGAAACAATCGATGCATTTAAAAGATGTCCTACAAACAATATTCAATGGTCAGAAGAGAATATCAGTATCATTCGAAAGAACTACTACCCAGTGATCCTAGGGAGGAAAATGCCATTCCAGTGCAGTGATCCAAAACGAAAGTTGACAGGAGATCGGATAATATCAACATCATTCGAAAAAATTAGAATCCAGTTATATTTTGAAGGACAGCACATTTCAACTGCAATGATCCAGGTTTTTGACAAAGCATAAGAAATCTGTAACATTTTTTTTAATAATTATAACTTTTAACTAACAAAATTTATATTAAATACTACATTATTTTAGCTCTGTTCATTGATTTTCATTCGAAACAGACATGCATGTTACAAAAATGTTATCAAATGTACAGATGAATTTTTCCAATTACTGCAAATCTCTGAGTTACATAACTTATCACTGAACAGAGGTTATTGTAAATAAAACATTAATCACTACAAGTAAAATCATTAAAAATTAATCACTATATTCAGGTTTTGATTTCCTTATGTCAAACAAAATTCTTCTTCAATAAAAAAAAATAAATTCGGAAATGTTCTTATGATGTGACTGCTTATCAGAGAAATCTACACCGTTAGTATTTATAATCCAATTCTAACACGCACTCTGAAGTTGATATTAAAAGCAGAGTTCCTCCATGACAGAATCTGTGTAGTATAAGAGGACCAGGTTTTCCAACATACTGTTGCCACTCATTTACCTCATTTTTTTGTCAACATATTCAGTTTGTAAACTGTACAAAAGCATGAATTAACTTATCGATAATTTCTGAAAAAAGAGCATTTAATTCTATAAGAAGAATGGGTCATCAATAAGTGCTCATCAAAGTATTTGTGTTTTATTTCTGTTTAATAATTTTTATTTCCGATATAATTAATTCTTGCCGTCTCTATAAAGAATGTATAAAACCTCAGCAATTTACCCATGGCTACTAAGCGTTGAATTACTTCCAATCGAACTTCCGCACTTCTAAAATTAAGAGAATACAGTTTAATGTTTTCCATCGAAAACGAGGTAATATGAAAACATTAGTAAAAATGCTTATAGAATTGAAATTAAAATAGCATCATTGACTTAATATCTCAGTCTTATTTCATTACATTGCTTTAACATAAAAGGCCCATATATCACAACGCTCAGGGGAATCATTTTCATCATATTATATTTGATCAGCAGAGAAATAGTTCCCTATATAGATGAAAACTGAGTACTTGTAATCTAATCGTCTGTCTGTCTGTCTAGCTATTCCTCCGTTAGTCTGTTTGGATATTGTTTTTCTCAGACATGTATTCTGAATGTACTAATCACGTGACTGTCATGGGGGTGTCTCAATTCAATACATAGTGGGGTACACTTTGTCATTCATATAAGCATTAATGTCATGTGATAATACACGAATAACAGTTTTACAAAGGATCATTCTCTATAAGGCCGTTTTGCGGCCTAAAATGACTTAAAATTTTCAGATAGTATTTTTTCCCTTAAAAAATTGCATGGATCACTAGGCTTATATTCCAAATTAATGAGAAAAATTGGTTGGTTAATGAAACAATATTTTTTTTATGATATAGGGTCACAAAGTAAGGTACTATACGGTCCGTAATAGCATTAGAGTAATTGGATTTTAACTCAAGAGGGTGGCTGTGTTAGGTAACTCCTACGCAAGTCATAACTAACTTTAACCAACACCAAAATTTGCATGTGAATTTCTTATAAACATAGAAAGTGACTTTCAAATTATAAATTTGGTTAAAGGTGGTTATGCCTTTGTCTATATATAGCTAAAACAGGTTAACCGGTTTGAGTGAACTAGCTCTGTGAAACTACATGTACATAAAACTAACAACAACACTATATCTTTACTTTCTCCCAAAATATTTTTTAGGGAACTTAGAAAAGGAAGAAACAATATATAAATATACTAATTAAATTACGAGTCGAGAAGAAAACGGCGCTCCTCGAAAATTGTCAACACGAGTGACAATAATTTTTCAATAAAAAAAAAAACTACATGTATTTGTCTCGTGCAAAAATATGAAATATACGAACAATTCAAAATAAAGTTCAGTCGTTGCGGCACAAGTAACCAAAATTGAATGAATCAAGAAGAAGAAAAAAATAATGCAATTTGCACAAGACAATGAAAATATTCAAAATTTTCGTACTGACGTTTACAAAAAAAGCCCTTACGATATTATACACTAATAAGTAATGACAATACTGCCCCCCCCCCCCCCCCCCCCCACCCCCCCACGAAATAGGTTTTTCACGTTTGGCGAGTTAAGGTTTTTTTGGGGTTTTTTTTTTTGTTTTGTTTTTGTTTTTTTTTTTTTGCTTGTCAAGAAATTTCTGGGATTGGATTTTTTTTTTTTTTTTGAACTGGGTGGACCCCCCCTGGAAAAAATTTCTGGATCCGCGCCTGAATGAAAAACGAAAATGCAAAAATAATTGGACCGTGATATCACCACGTGTGCGACTCACGCGTGAAAAAATAACATGGCAAATTAGTAAAATTGTTGGAACTTTGTAGTAACGTTAATGTAAACGCCTATTAGCAACAGTTTTCTAAAATGACTTAATGCAAAACATTCCACGTGAGTGTTCTTACTCACGAATTACAGACAATTCACACGTGAATTTTGTAAATAAAAATATGAAAATTCAATGCACCCTGCACCGAATTACCGGCGACGCCAATGTAGTAAAATATAACATTTTACTATGAAACAATACCTTATAGTGATATATATAAGGTGACGACTAAGACACAAAGTCTACATATTGGTAAACAGGTACAGGTGTACAACAGTATAGGAAACAGGTAACACACACACACGTGGTGACTGGTTTGAGGACTGGACTTGACTGACGATAGGAAGCGTGCTGGCCAGCACGGGTGGATGGATATGAGGTCAGGGTAATAGGTCATAGGAATATATTTACATACACAATTTCACTACAGGCCTTTACTTCTGTATACACGGCCACAAAAGACTACAAATTAATAAAAATATGGTGTTGAACGTAAACTCATCATCCTTCAATCTACTTTCACCTGTAAATGAAATAAGAAAAATTATTCTTTACTTTTACTTTCAGCATTTATTCAAAGATTCATTCCCTTTATTTATTCAAAAATTCATTCTCTTCATATTGATTCATACCTCCAGTAGTTTTTGATACAATCAAATCTCCCTCAAAGTCTTTTGCATTAGTTTTTCCTTGGAAGTTGGGATAACTCTTCATGGTTGTAGATAATCTCAGCTTCCCCCTTTTAAAGTTTCACATCCGTAAGAAAAACCAGCTTTGATCCTCTTTTGTCTACAAATCTGCACACCATGGCCAAATATTTCCCGGCACTGATGTCGGTGTACGCATCCACCATGACAACGTAGGACCCGCCTGTCTTATGTCAATATGGTCACCAATTTCAGTCAATGGATTCAGTGGCTGTGGATTCACTTCGGTATGTTGTGTTCTTACTGTTTGGCAAATGTTGGAGATCTGTGACTCCTAATGTATTCAGCAACGACTCATACAGTTTCAGGTAGGGTTGATCAGAAAGTACTTTAGTATCTGGAAATCCTTTTATTCCAAGATGTTTTTGGTCATGGTTTCAAATCCTTTAATCCCAAGATTTCTTTCTTTGTCATGGTTTTAAATGCTGCCTTAATGCCATTGTCCATTGCCATCTCTTTGAAAACCTAATCTTTCGCCTTGTGCTCCTCGGACGACTTTGGCTTGATGACAACAAATAGGCTGGTGGAAGCACAACCAGTAGTATTCAAGACCTTACTGCCTTTGGTGTCTAAAACAAAGGGCGTTTTGGCCGTTTAAATGGCGCGTTTTGAAATTAACTTTTAACTGTCAAGGAGGAAAGCCGAATCAATTTCTCTTCAGGTAATATATATATAACAGTATATGTTTATTTTTTAAATATTATTATAGCAACCGAAGCTAATTTTTTTTTGTTTTTGAGTAATGTAATCAAACTATATGCCATTAAAAGGAGCTCATTAAATGCAGTACAATACTTTTTATTTCAGGAATATACCTTTATGAGAAAAAAAGTTGCGGCATTTTAAAGACATGAAATTTCGGTCGTTTTCTAGAATTTTATCGCTTAATTAATAATGACTAACCCGGGTTAGAATAGGTTCTCAGTACCCCGTTGTTTGTCGTAAAAGGCGACTAAATGGGGCGGTCCTTCGGATGAGACCGTAAAAACCGAGCCCCAGCAGGTGTGGCACGATAAAGATCCCTCCCTGCTCAAAGGCCCGGAGTGCCGAACATGGGCTTAAATTTGCATCCCTTCACCGGCAATGGTGACGTCTCCATATCAGTGAAATATTCTCGAGAGGGACGTTAAACAGTATACAATCAATTAATCAATAAAGACTTAGATGAGAGCGCCCGGAGGTGGACCCGGCGAAGTTCTTTATTTCTTGTCAGATTTTCATGAAATTTTGTACCCTGACTGGAAAAGTTCTGATCTTTCCAATTCTGCCTTTGTTTCTTCTCTATCTATTAGCATTCATTAAGAAAGAAAAAAAGTTCATAATTTTTATTAAATGTATTGTAAAAACAAGCTTTTTTTTCATTGCATCAAAAATCCATCATGAGTAAATAACTTATATCACTTACAATGTACTTGTCATTAATTAACAAAATAATGAATTTCTGCTACATTAATACATATCAAATACTGAATCATTGCAACGTTGTTCCTTAACATGACAAATTGATCATGATGACATGAATATGTTTATCATTAAAGCGGAATATTACATATTGTATGTATATGGAATATATCTAGAATATAATTCCGGTTATGATAGTATTGTCTTCCCACAAATTTTTATTAAAATAGAAAATTAGGTGTTATGACTATTTGATACATTTTAATAAAACAAAATTGTAATAAATTCAATAAATTGTATATATTTTCATTATATTTAGTAAAATATGTATTTTGTTTAAGAAAAGAAACTCGTACATGTATAAGAAGAAAACAGATTGACTTTGAATAATTAGTGTCAGAATTTAACAAAAAGTACAAGTATTTTACAGTGTAAGAATTCAATTTGTCACCCAAGGTTTTCCTGTTTATTCAATATAAAACAGTTTTTGTACAAGTGAAAAAAAGGACTTTCTTTTACAAATATTGGCATGTCCAGCTAATGGATTTCTATTGTATTTTGGTAAACAATTTACCTATGAGTTTTTAGAGTCAGATGTTCAATAAGCATGATAATCAAATAATTGCGTAATAGTGTTAATCTCTTTTGTGATTTTGTCTTTTTGTTAAGAAGGCCTAAGGGTCTGAAGTCAAGCCCAGGTGTTCAAGTTTACTCAATTACCGTGGCGGTCATTTTTATGTCACGTGATCACTCTGTTTAATTA